CCTGCGTTTCGGTCTCAAGCATGCGTTCGAAGAAGGAAGAAAAAAGAAAACGACTCAATTTCTGATCACATTATGATTTTTCTGTTTAGTTTGTAGTAATGATGATGAGGTGAGTTTTATGAAAGAGCGTTTTTGGTGAGAAGAGTGGATGGAATGGAGATGGTAATATAATCTCCCGCCTAAGTATTCAATAGCACGTTTTTTGTATTATTTTTCTGTTTAGTTTGTGGTAATGATGATGAGGTGAGATTTATGGAAGAGCGTTTTGGTGAGAATAGTGGATGGAATGTGGTAAGCTAGTTTCTCTCTTAAATAAAGCGCCATTAATTGTAAAGCTCAGCACATTTCTACTTTTGGTTTTCTTATACATCATTCGATATAGAATTTCACGCTGATCGAGAGTATCATCTTTTAGCCACCCCGTTTTCATGGATAGACATTGGATAAAATTTGTTTGATTCCTGAGAAAGTTTATTTTTTCTGAATCAGGAGCGAAAAAATCCGAATTCTGCCGGTAATTCGTAATGCGAGACCGGTCTGATTTGTGAAAATCTGCAATTTACATAATATCTAGATGTTCAGATATTCAGATATATTCCTCTTTTCTTTCACGGTGGCGAATATCAGGAAGCGCCTCACTCTCATCTTCCCTTGCCACCCCCACCTTTTCCCCATTTCTATAACATCTGAATATCTAAATATCTAACTTGAATATCAGAATATCTGAATATCTGAACATCTAGATATATTATGTAAATTGCAGATGTTCACAAATCAGACCCTACTGTGAGGAATTGTCCATCGAATGATGTATAAGAAAACCAAAGATGAAAATGAGCTCAAGTTTTGAATTAGCGGCGCTTTATGAAAGATCGGATTTCCTGTACCATTTTTCTGTTTAGATGGTGGTAGCATGAGTGAACGTTGATGGAGGAATAACGGACGTATAAATGTATTTTGTCGTGTTTTTTTTTGTTTTACTTTTATTTTTTATTTGTTATACCTTTTTTATACTTGCTGCGCTGGTTGTTTTAAATAAATGAGTACTATAAAGAGTTGCTAAAGTTGCGATAGTTCGAACAGTTCCTAGTGCTAACATAGTTCCTTATATGCCTATACTATTTAAACTACGGATAGTTTCTCTCGCTCCTACTATTCCTAGGGAGGTGGATAAGCTGATGTTCCAATTTTCGTCTCTATGACCGGTCCCTTTGAAACTTCGAAAAACGTTTTTCTCAAACATCAATGAAACATACATAATTCGATACAAAATTTCATGCTCCTTGCGAATATCAGATCGAAAGTTGAAAAAAGTCGAATCCTGACCGAAAAGGTTGTGTTTTACCAGAAGATGGCGTTCGTGCCTAATTGAATATATGCGGTTTTAGTGCCTCAAGATGATATTTGATAATATTCAAAAAATCAGCTGGATATACTCAAAAGCGCATCAGCTTTTCGGACTTTATATTCAAAATGTTCCAAATGTCGATTCTCACTGTAGAAGTCGCTGTAACCTCGGAAAATGAAAAACCACGTACTTCAAACTTTAAAAAACATGGAATCTAGTACGTGGTTTTCCAGGGTTTTCCGAGGTTAAAGCGATTTCTACAAAGAAAATCGACATTTGGAACATTTTAAATATAATGTTCGAAAAGCTGATGCGCTTTTGAGTACATCCAGCTGCTTTTGAATATTATAAAATATCATCTTGAGGCACCCATGTGGATCTATGTCCGTCAGACTGCCACATGACCATATATATGTACATCCGTCACACTCACTGGTCACTATATGTATGTACGTCCGTCACACTGCCACATGACTATATCTATGTACGTCCGTCACACTCACTGGCCACTATATGTATGTATATCCGTCACACTCACTGGTCACTATATGTATGTACGTCCGTCACCCTCCCACATACTGTTGAATACTGCTCGAATACTGTCGAATAAATGAATACTGTTTACTGAATCTTTCGGTATTTTTTTATTAACATAATTATGTATACGGCTTGCCCAGCTAACGGTGCCTATTTTTTGCTCATTTCAAAAAATAGTTGCAATAAAGCTACAAACTAATCTAAAAAATGGCAACTAGATAACTAAGTAGATTAAACATTTCTTTACAAAATGAAAAGTGTCTCGGCTCTGAATGTTGATTCGGTATGAAAACACAGTTGTTGTATAAAGAGCCCCAAAAGTCGATTTTGGGACTATCTAAAAAGCGTGTCTAAAAGAGTAAAGAAAAGCAGGCGAAAATTGAACAAGTATATCACTTTGTAGAAAATTGTTGCTCTACAAGATGTGATAGCTTGTCAAGTTCGAAACTATTCTGATTAATCTGTATTAATCAAAGAAAAAACAGAAAAACCGAGGCGCCGTGACAAAAAATAAAACCAGGTCCAATTTTTGGGAATACATAATAGAAAAAACACCTGGTTTATCTGTAATTTTAATATTGGATAAACTGGCGAAAAAACCAACCTAACAAGTATTATTCATCCAAGATACTTTCCATCGCAATGCGTTGAAAAACCAATAATTTTGAGTTCTTTCGAGTGACATTCATCATGTATAAATATCCATCTACGCCATATAGCATTCGATGTAGATTTACTGTTTGTACCATATGCTGATAATAAATAAGTTGAAGAGAGAACTGAATTTATTGTGATCGATTGGAACATATGTACATTCAATAGTTGAGCTTTTTCGCAAGTTGAAAACCAGTTTTTCAACTCATCGAATGAATCTGTCTGAAAATGTTTGTATGATGGTAAACCGGATATTAATGGTGTCGAAAATCCTATAAATGTATCTGTTGCTGAATCATATTTTATTTTCCGTATAACACCTGTACAGTCTTCAGACATAAATCCATACTGACAATCAATTACACTTGCATGTTTCAATACACGATCTATTTGAAATTTATCTTCTTCAATTACATTCTCATTGTTATTCGATGTTATTTTATTCGATGTAGTTAAACTTGGGAATGCTTGACTGATATTCAACCGAGTGAATTCATATACATTCTTACCACCGAGTATAAATAACGATAGCGTAAAATTTTCCATTGTTTGATTATATCTAAAATTATTTTTTTGGACATTTTAAATTCGATGTTGTACTATTTATGAATGTTGTTAAAAATCCTTCTTAATGCTTATCCAGGTCGATGGTACTAGTTTTATAATACGAAATTAATGCTTTTAATGATGGATGTTTAATTATTAATTCGTTTAATGCCCACGGAGAAAGTTTTTGAATAAAGCTGTGGTTAACCGCGGTATGAAAACCCGCGGCTTTTGCCGATTTAAATACACCGCGGGAGTCAGACCGTTTATTAGGTTTTTACACACCGGCCGAAATCGCGGTTTTTCATACCGCGGTTTCGAGTGGATTTTTACAAAAATGAGTTTCTTGATGTTATCGTCGGTATCTGTTCGTTTTCTTTCCTTCTCTCTTTCTTTATTCTACATTTGTTTCTATAGCTCTGACTGTGCTTGCCCCCCTTCTTATCACTGCATCCATACGCCGTGGTTGTTGCGTCTATTGCACTGCGGTGGTCCTGTAACGCGGTAAGCCCACCTAAAACCACCAACCTTTCATATGCGTTATGTGAGATTGGAACTCCTTACCTTTAGCTTGTTTGTCCAACATGTTCCCGTTGAGCCATCTCGGGTTGTTATACAATGATCAAAACTGACGTTATATCTTACTGATCTAAGGGTTTTAAGTAACAAACGGATGTGGGAGATGATCAGGGATACCAGATCCAAAGCAAGAAAATCAGAAAGATCCCAGAAAAACCAGTTCCAAATCAGAAAATCAGTAGACCTTCGACGAAAAAAGGGCAAAAAAAGTTCCAAAAGTCAGAAATTTTCGGCCGAAAACAGAACAGTTGGGATCCGTGCAGATGAGTATCCTAGCGACACACCTGACACGACGGCGCCCTGGGGACAAAAAAACAGATAAAAATGCGGTTTCGATATCGCGATTTCCTGATACAAACCATTCAAAAGAAATTGCTATGCTATTGACTTTCTTTAACTTTTCGTGAGTCAGTGTTGACGCTGAAATTCAATCGAATATTTTCTGAGAACGTGCTAAACATTTTGGAGCTTTTTTCACCAGGAGTCTAACTTATTCTAGTCATGTTAATCTCGAACTGTTGAGATAAAGTCGATGTAAACTATGATACGCTATTAAAGGAATCATCCTTGTTTTATGAGGCTAATAAGTAGGGGATAGTTATTATATTAACCTAATATGAATTATACTTATTTGATAGTAGAAAAGAAAAGTTTTTTGTATAACTTATCATCGGTCCAGCTCATTCATTATGAAATACCCAATAGCTGATTAACTATGAAAGTTTTTTCAGTTTTAAATGCCAATAATAATAAAAGAGTTTTCTGGAGATTCTCTGAAGACACTTTGGTGGCCATCAGAAAGATCTGAATGTTTGTCTATTAGATGTAGCACAGTCAGTTTCTTATTAAAATCTTTTCTTTCGTTTAAAAATCATTCGTCGTGTGACGTATATGCATACCAAACGACACATTCTCCTCTTGTCTTTATCCTTCTCTCAACATTGTAGATCTTGCTTTATGTTCGAACCAATAAGACTAATTAGGATGAGTGTTCTTCCTTATCGATACGTCATTGTGTAGTGCTGTCATCAGAAGAACGAGTGACAACAATGAATATATACATATCTCTGCGAAAATGAGCGCGTCGGAAGAGGCAACTATGCAATCAAGTCAGCAGACAGATAAAAGTGCAGGTTCTCATAAACTACGTTCTGAGTAATAATTCGATATGAGACAATTACGATGTACAGTGATCGGATTGTTTGGCAGTGACAACAGAAGTTAAATAAAAATTAAAACATTTTGAATTTTAAAAGTTTTTAATCAGTAAGCTTTTAAAGCTTTTGTCGTTACAAAAGAAAATTGTTCCGCTTACTAAGAATTTCATAGGGAACAACTTTTGTTCAAAGCAAACGCGGTCACCCTATGAAAAACGTTCTATCTAAAATCTCGAACTGGAAAACTTCAGTAGGGTCGAATTACCCCCCCTTAACGAATTTAGCAAGAACGCTAGGCCACAGGGTAAAACGAATCTGCAATGACGACAGTGAAAAAACAGTTAAAACGAAGTCTGAATGACCTGATTCTGTCCGTATATATTGAAATGTGTCGTCGGTTTATTAAATAATTTAGTGACGAATCGATTACTAACAAAATCCGTGTACAAGTAAACGTCCAAAAAGTTGATGTTATAATTTGTAAGATTTTCAATTTTGTATTTCAAGTTCTTTTTCAGTAACATAGGTCTTTTAAGTGAGGCACTGTAAAAGGGTTGATTTTAAGCATTAAAAGTAATTTTTGAAAACCTTGCCAGCGATTGCATGATAATAAAGAATTTTCAAGATAAATTTTCGCTAGCGAAGGTGTAGCTGATGCCATGTTACATGGAATAAGCGCAAGGAAATTTCAAAACGAAATTCTGAACTTTTTTAATCAATAAGCTTTTAAAGTCTTAGTCGTTACAAAAGAAAAACTGTTCCGCTTACTAAGAATTTCATAGGGAACAACTTTTGTTCTAAGGAAACGTTGTCACCCTATAAAAAACGTTCTATC